AAGTCAACGGTCAAATGGCCAAATATTATCTAACACAAGCATGCATAATTTTCAAACTAAAGCGGGTTCAACTGTAGTTCACCCCTTAATTTTTATTATGTCGCTTAGATGTTATTGATATATAAAGTTGGGGAATAAGAATAAATAAAGTAATTTACAAGGGCTGATATAGTATTAAGGAATAGTTAAGGCAGATAATAATTCTATATATTTAGACTTGGGCAGCAAGGATCTGACGTTTAAGAATTAAGAGGATAATTATAAGATTAAGTAAATTTTAAGGAGAAGACACGTATTAGAATCGACGAGTCATCTTCTCCCTTCATCTTCATTCTTTAAATATAATTTATCAATATTAACATTCTATAAATTTACTTGAAGACCCAAAACAAAGGACAAGATTGTAAAGTCAAAAAACTTTTCACACAAAATAGGAAATTCAGTAATATATATTTACTTTATTACTAGGAAAAGGGCAAAAGAGGAAAAAAAGGAAAAGGAAAAAGCATTCACTATCGAGAGGGTAGATCGGTAAAATCCTATCCGACTGAAAGATTTGAAACTACCAAGGGGCCCAAGCCCCCCCAACTAGAAGAAATAAGAGGTAGGTATTCCGCGTCACAAGGGCTTCTTTCACTTTCCTCTGTTCTCCGTTCCCACTGTTTTTGAATATTCCGTTCACCGGAGCCCGAATATTCCGTCTGGGGAGCACTCCTCCCTTCTTCTTTTACTGCTTTTGGACGACTCAACCGTCAACATTTAGAACGTTAAACACCTTTCATTTTGGTTTTTTTAAACCCCAATTCTCACAAATTTTACATTAGGGTTTCTTCCAACTTCCTCAGAATTGAAATTAACGTTTGAAGTACAAATCAATACGGAACAAAGGTAACGATGTTTACCCCGAAAAGGCAGTGGCCGGGGGCACCAATGACACCGAAGACTGAAGTGCGCGCAACGCCGAACCCTAGTCGCAAAGATAAGATGGTGGCTTTTACCGACGGGACTCCTCCACCGCCGCCGCCGACGAGTTTTTTGAGCGCGAATGGGAATACAGCTCAGGCGGAAAATATGGAGGATTGGAGGAGGTTTCATGAGGTCGGACTGTTGGATGAGGTTGAATTGGAGCGGCGCGATCGTGAGGCGCTGGTGGAGAGGACCCAAAGGCTTGAAAGAGAGGTTAGACAGAAATGAAGCATAGTTTGTTTTGTAATTTTGCAACTTTTTTCTTATTAACTTTTCGAAATTTTGTTTTCCACAAGTGGTATTTTTTTTTTTCTGTTTCATAATAGTACATTTGTATCATCTATTAGTCTAATTTCCTTTATGGATATTATTACGATCAATCGTGAAACTTAGATTATCGACCTGTTTGAGGAAAAGTATATGTGTTCATTGCTAGCTAGTGCTTGTTTATTCAATTAATGAGGAAACAAAGTTCTTTGCCACCTATAGGCTCTTATGGGGTGTGGGGTGGGGGTGGGGGTGGGGTGGGGGGGGTGTCTTGGTGCTATGCTAAACATTACAACAATTTTTTGATGATATACGACATCACATAATTCTACAACTGAAGAATATTATGACTTGTAATAATAACCAGTTAAGAGTGAGCCGTGCGATCCTCTATCCTATGTTTTACATTTTTTTAGTTTGGAGAAGATACTAACTAGTGAAGAAACTTTGCGGTTGCAGATGGTAATGAAATATTTAGCATTTTCCAGGCAACGTTCAAGGATCATGTAGCTAATAGTATTTGAAATCTTAAGAAATTTTTGCTTGAAAATTCAGCATTTATCGAACCTGAACTGTTTATATGTTTCGGAATTGTCAAGAATTAGATATTCCTGCCTCCATATATTGCATATAATTTTTCCTCTTCTTTATTGTATTGTTGCTTATCCGTCCATGTTTTATATGTTGATATGTTCTAATTACGAGTCTTATATTTGGATAACAAGAGTGAATTCAAGATAGACGGTGCTATAGTTTTCTATAATTATCTAATGTAACAACAACTTTTTGTTTTGTATTATCGAAGTTATCCATCACCATCCCAGAAGAACGAATATTGACTTGTACCTTTGGTTAGTTAACACTAGTTTATGCATCTATCTCCTTTGGTCTCCAAGTCTTGTTACAAAATTTCACAGTTGTTGCTTCTATATTCCATGTCATTTTACGTTCTAAATTGAATAATCTGAGTGCATTTAGCAGAGAAAACATGTTTAGATTATTCCTTGTAAATGGTTAACCTCCTTTAGGATTGTTATAGGCTACTCAGGACTAAAGGGTAGGGGGAGAAAAGAGAGAAGTTTATGGGACCAAGCTCTTAAAAGTTACTCTCACTGTATATTTTACTTTTCTCTCGGATATAGGATTAGTATAATTAGTTTCTTGTTGGCAATCCAGTGGAAGCAGATGTTTGGGTTGTTGCATGCTTTGCCTTAGGTTTGTCCATTGTAACATATCAATTGGTTTTAAGATTAAAATGTGGATTTTTATGTATTTTAATTATTCGTAAAGGTGCAGTCCTATATGTCTTAAAAGTTACGTATCTTGTCTCGAATTGCCATCCTTTGGTTTTGTAAAAAGGTTATGGAGTTGTTATGCAACTGTGATTTGGTTTCAAATTCTTACATTTGAAATCGAGAAGTTCTTAGCCATTAATATCGAACTCATTATTTTGATGTCTATTGTTTAGCTGCTCAAGCGTTGGCTTGTTCAATCATTAAATGAGCTGTAAAATTTTCAACATGAATCTCTGCAATTCACGTGACAATACATTTTGCCGTATGGTTCTTTTTCTTTTTCTTTTTTAGTATTTGTTGGTTTCATTTTTAGTGTCTGTGTATGATGGTTTTAGTTTTAAGTACGTTAATTCAAGTATAGGCCCATTTTCGTTCTGCATAATTATTTAGAACACTATTGCATTTATTTTCACTAAGGCAGAAACGACTAATGGATCAAATTCATTAAGCCGCTGGAAGTGGCTAGAAAATATTTCAGCAGTCATTTGGGTGTACTAGGTTTCTGGTGATCCCTTTTTGTACTCCCCTTTCTGGTTTCCCCAGTTATATAACCCTCGAGCCTAAAATTTTGTGATATTATTATTGAACCAGCAAATAATGTGAAAAGAAAAAGTTTCCTTTTCCATTTCTCTAGCGTTGGTACTGCACCCTGAGAATGTCCAGATTGAGAAAAAATGCTAAGATGTGCACGCCTCCATGTGTGTGAGCAAGCAAGTACAACATATATACTATACTCCAATATTGTGTTTTTCAGCATAACGTCCTGAGGTTATTTCTTCATATTTATTTTTCATAACAAAATGCATCTTTCCTTTTCCCTGCTTGTCTTTTCTGAATAATTCGTTCTGCTAGAAGAATGTCAATAAGGACCTTTTATCTTAATAAATGCACAATGAATTGGGTGTCTTTATTTAGAGCGCATTAAGGTGCAAGGTGTAGCTCTGAGTTTTGAGTTTAATATTTATTGATTTATTTATTTTTTGCTTGGCAGCTCTTCGACTATCAGTATAATATGGGACTGCTGCTAATTGAGAAAAAGGAGTGGACTTCAAAACATGAAGAACTTCAGGAATCTATTCAAGAAGTGCAGGAGCTTCTCAAACGTGAAAAAACTGCTCATTTGATTGCAGTTTCTCAAGTAGAAGAGCGGGAATCAAATTTGAGGAAGGCGTTGGATGCTGAGAGACAATGTGTGAATGAGGTGATATATTTTCTTCCGCACGTACATATTGGTTTGTGATTGTTTATTCTCCTCAAAGATAAATATGCATTGGCAATTGTCCGACTGTGCATTTTCTTTGTCTTCTTTCAGTTGGTCGATGGACTGTGTTTTCCTAATATCTTAAAAATATCTTAACAACTCTAACACTTGCTGAAAATACTTGCTTTCTGCAGCTTTCGAGGTCCCTACGTGATATAGGATCCGAGCATGAGAAAATCAAGATGACATCAGCGTCTAAGTTGGCTAATGCCAATGATTTGGTAGCTGGAATTGAGGACAGGTCTTTAGAGGTGCAACAGAAGTTGCTTTCTGCTGATGCAAAGCTTACGGAGGCAAACAGGAAAGCTTTAGAACTGGAGAGGAAATTGCAGGAGGTTGAAACAAGAGAAAGTGTTTTTAAGAGGGAGCGCATGTCCTTTATTTCCGAGTATGATTAAATATTTGATGTTCAACCACGATATTATTTTAGTAAGTTTGTTAGCTCGTTTTTTTTGTTTTAATTTATCCTTTTGTATCATCTTTCCAGACGGGAAGCGCATGAAGCAAACTTTTTGAAACATAAAGAAGATATGCGGGAGTGGGAAAGGAAGCTTCAAGAAGGGGAAGAGAGACTGTGTCAGAATCGGAGAAATATTAATGAGAGAGAGGAAAAGGTAAATGAACTCAGTAGGATGTTAAAGGAGAGAGAGAGGGAGCTTGAAGACGAACAGAAGAAGGCTGATTTGGCAAATTTGACCCTGAAGGAGAAAGAAGACGAGATTAATAAGAAACTAGCTGAGCTAATTGTAGAAGAGGACGTGAGTTTTTGAACCATTTCAATGTGCAAGCTATATTTCTCCAATGTCTTTAGATGTTTAATTTTTATTCTTTTTGCAGAAAGCTAAATCTGTCAGAAGTAATCTAGAGATGAAGGAGAAGCAGTTAACTGCGTTAACGGAGAAGTTGAGCTCTAGAGAGAAAGTGAGTTGCTTGCTCTTGGTTTGTTGCAGAGTTATTACATTTTTCTGCATTCGTGATAGAGACTGTTTTACCTATGGGCAAGTTAGTTGACATCCTTCATTAACGAAGATTGGGCTGTGCCTTCTTAGTGATTGTCTTTGTTTTTTTCACCAAGTATTTGGGAGTTATCAATGTAGGGTTTGCATTGGAGTTATCACTACAGATCTTGCATGCTCATCACCTGAAAGAATAATTACTTTCATTGTTGTAATCGAGGTTTTAGCTTCCCATTTATGATTTCAATTTTTAAAGGCCTGATGCACGCACATGAAACCTCTTTATCACTTTATGTCACCGAAAGTGTGACTTGTCACGATGAATTCACTCACTGCTTGCTTGTTCACGCTCGCAAAAATTAATCGACTTATGATGCTTATCTGTTTAGTTTTTCGAAGAGATTTATGGATTCAACTTTCAGAGATAACTTTCTCTGTGGAACTAGGAGATATCATATTATGGTTTCTCGTTGTTTAACTGTGTAGTGTTGTTGCTTCAGTATCAATTATACTTCTCTAACCAATAAAGGATCATAAAAACGTGAGATTGCTTATAAATTATTTTGATATGGTATGCATTTTTTTTATTATTACTTTTTGTTGTGGGGGGTGGGTGGGTGTGTGTGGGGGGAGGTATCAGTTGGAAGTCTGATTTATCTTTCTGTTCTTGCAACTAGTTCCAATTTATACAGCTGACTCTCAATTTCGTTTTCAAATTTGCTATCAGAGTTGCCAATATTTGACCTTAATATATGTTCTATAATAGGTGGAGCTTCAGAACCTTCTTGATGAACATAGATCTGCTTTGGACATAAAAAAGCAGGAATTTGAATTGGAAATCGAAGAAAGAAGGAAGTCTCTGGAGGAGGAGATTAAAATTAAACATGAGAATTTGGTTAAGAAGGAGAGTGAAATCAACCATATGGAGGAAAAATTGAGAAAACAGGATCAAGCACTGGAAAAGAAGTCGGACAGGGTTAACGAGAAAGAGAAGGACATTGAATTAAAGTTGAAAGGCTTGAAGGAAAAAGAGAAGGCCCTCAAGCTGGAGGAGAAAAATCTGGACTTGCTGAGGAGAGAAACAGCTTCTGATAAAGAAAGTCTGCAAATTCTCAAAGACGAGCTTGAGAAGATGAAAGCTGAAATTAGTCAGAAGAAATTGGAAATTCATGACGAAAAGGAAAAGCTTAGTGTCACTAATGAAGAGAGGAAGGAGCATAACCGTTTGTTAATGAATTTAAAACAGGAGATAGAGAGGTACAAACATGAAAAAGATTTGCTCTCTAAGGAAAGTGATGATCTGAAGCAAGACCGAAAGAATTTCGAGGAAGAGTGGGAGGCCCTCGATGAAAAAAGAGCAGAACTGACTAGAGATGCGCAGCAACTTGAAGAGGAGAAAACCGAAATTGAAAAATTGAAGTCCTCTTTAGAAAAGCAATTGAAAGAAGATAAAATCGTCACCGAGGATTACGTCAAGAGAGAGTTGGAGGCTCTTAAACTTGAGAAAGAATCATTTGCTGCCACAATGGAGCACGAGCAGTCAATGCTATCCGAAAAATCCCGACACGAGCATGACCAGTTAGTTCGTGATTACGAAATTCGTAAAAGGGATCTCGAGGCAGATATGCTGAATAAGCAAGAAGAAATGGAAAGATCTTTGCAGGAAAGAGAGAGAGCGTTTGAGGAGAAGACTGAGAAAGAACTTAGTAATATCAGTCGTTTGAAGGAAGTTCTGCAAAAGGAAACGGAAGATATGAAGGCAGAGAGGAGCAGATTAGAGAAGGACAAACAGAGCATTACCTTGAACAAGACACAACTCGAAGAGCAGCAGCTCGAAATGCACAAGGACATTAACGAACTTGGTGTCTTAAGCAAAAAGCTTAAGTTACAGAGGCAACAATTCATCAAGGAGAGAAGCCGATTCTTTTCATTTGTCGAGACGCTTAAGGATTGTGAAAACTGTGGGGATAGGGCGAGAGAGTATATCTTATCTGACCTTCAAATCACAGACAAGGAGGAGGCGTCTCCACTTCAAGCATTGGGTGAAGAACTTTTGGAAAAAGTTTCTTCTTACAAATCGAATGCTAAGAAAGATGCTCTTTCTGAGGAAGATCCTAAATTGTCAGAATCTGGTGGGCGTATGTCTTGGATTCTTCGAAAGTGCACTCCGAGAATCTTTAACTCGCCTTCTCCTACCAAGAAAGTTCAAGAGATGCCTCCTCAAAACTTGGACCAAGCTTTGACTGATACACTGGTCAATGTTGCTGAAAATGTTGGAGTATCCAACATGCCAGATAATCATGAAGTTCCAGAAGATTCTCAGAATTCAGGGTTGAAGAATCGTCGACGGAAATCGAGTAGAAAATTCGGTGGGGTCCACAGAACACGTTCTGTTAAAGATGTAGTTGAAGATGCTGAAGTTTTCTTGAGAAGGAAATCGGGAGACGTAGAATTGAATGAGGAGCAAAGTAAGGATGAAGAAAGCCGGGGAGAGTCTGGCCTTGTTGGGAAAGCAGCTAGTGCTGTTCGAAGAAAGCGAACACGTGCACAGTCTTCTAAGATGACTGAGAGTGTGGATGCTGATTATGACAGTGAGGGTCATTCTGAAAGTGTTACTGCAGGTGGCCGAAGGAAGAGGCACCAAACAGCTGCTCCAGCTGTACAAAATTCTGGGCAGACACGTTATAATCTTCGACGTCATACGGCGTAAGTTCGTTATTCCCCTTTATTTGTTTTACTATGTTAATTGAAACTACGTCTCTTTTAAGCTGATGAGTCATGCTGGGTAACTAGAATTGTGCAATTTTGAATTATATCCATTTCTCCATCCTCAAACTGAAAATTCGACCCTTTGCATCCTCTAAAACATATCAATAGAATTCTCGAAGAGTTATATGAGTTATTTATATATCAATCAGTTTTATTAAGGGGAAAATACACTTGGCAGTGGAGACGGATATGAATTATCACAAACCATAACTCGTTCAATAAAATGTCGAGGATTGAATAATCAAAGCTTGTGAAAATGACTAGGAATTGATAGTTTCTTGAATCTTTAATCAGGCAGGTAGTTTTGGTGCTTGTGTAAAGGCTATGATGCAAGCACATGAAATGGTAAAGCAGATGAATTTAGGGGATTATACTGCGAGGAGATATGCATATTTGAAGTATGTTATAATTGTTTTTAGTTCTTTATCCAGCTAATTTCTCCATTATTTTATCGAAGAATTGAACTTTGTTTGTGTAGGACTGGGTAATAGTTTTGACACCCTTCTAATATCCTCCAAGCACGATCACAGATTTCTTCATTTATTCGCGATAAGAACTATAGTATTTATGTTGCATCTCTATTTTCCGGGCAGTGTGTTATACGGGAAAAGATTTGTGGAACTTGATTCCATTAGTTTCATCTGAATTCGGTTCCTAAGTAACTTATCATCTGGAAAAGTAGAAATATTTCTAGTTTTTGGGACCTTTCTCTGACAAGCTTGCTTAATGAATGAGAACATGGTTAGTTAAATTTCACAACCTCTTCAACTGAAGCTACACCAAGTCCTGTAAGACAGCAAGTCGAAGCAGCTAAATGTACTATTGGGACCTTTTAGTTTTATATGTATATCTGAAAATACAAGGTATACTAAATTCAATGTATATTTATGTTCAGAAAGAGCAAAGGAGTAGCCATTTCAACAGACAGTGAGAGAATACCAGATAAGGAAGTCGGTTATGCTACCGTATCTCGAGATAACGAAATTACTTCTGCGCCCCCAGAAGAAGTCACCAGTCAGAAAAGGAGCTCTGCACAGTTGGTGCAGGTTACTTCTCGTAAACAGGCCCAAATGGTCTCGGTCGAAAGGGTAGTCAGGGTATATATATCCTTCTCTCCCTCGGCATTATGTAATGATTCTTGGCATAACAATTATTTTCTTATATTCACTTTGTTCCTCGTTTTGAAATGCAGTTTCAGGCAGGGGAAAACTTGGATGAAAATGCTGATGCAGCGAAATTGACAGAGACAGTCGATTTGAGTGAGGAGGTGAGTGGTACTCCAGAGTACAACACCGGTGATGAAGAAAACGAAGATGAAGAAGGCGATGAATATGCTCCTGGTGAAGCTTCCATACCTAAAAAACTTTGGACATTTTTCACATCTTGATCCCCTTTTGATTACATGTTGTAGTTTGTCTATTTTGTAAAACACACTTTGTGGTGTATTAGGGAACCTTTAGAAATCCGAGGATGTTTTTTTTTTTTTTTTTTTTTTTTTTTTTTAATTCCCGGAGAACCCTTTGTTATAATCTTTGTAATCAGGTTTTCACATTTGTTTTTTCAATAATTTTTTTTTTAATTTTTAATTTTTATTTTTTATTATGGAATTAGGATTAATCCATTCTTGATTAGTAGTGGAAACATGGGTCAATAAATATTACTGCGCTGTCTCCTAAATAAAACCACAATTAATATTTATGTCTCCAATAAGGCATTATGGTCGGGAAACTACATTTATGCAATTTCCAATTATATAATAAACTGATAATTGGATATAATTTGTGCATTATATAAGTGGTCCAAACTACTTTTAACCTATTGGTCCAAACACTATCCAGTTTTCTCTCTATTTAATTGCTTAATAACAGTTTGCACCCTTAAAATGCAGTATTTTGGCACTTTGCACCATTGAAAAAAATTAATAATATTTTGCACCCTCGAAACACAATAAATCATTCGCAATACATCATGAATTGAATATTTAAAACTTAATGATGGTAAGTAATTTCATTTTTTATTGGTTTTTTTTTTATTTTCAGGTTGTAAAATAACAAATTAAATTATTATTTTCTTCTACCTTCAACATAATTTTGAACATACAAAATGCGAAAAAAATAACATAATGGCTGAAGGAATTTTTGTTCATTTTATTTTTTCGTAAAAATATTTTTTGTGAAATTGTTTTTTTAATATGTTGATGAGATGTATTTTTATTTTTACACTTTGTAGTTTCGAAATGATTGATAAATATAAAACCAAATTGATTTGACATTTGACATCCTAAAAATATACTGCTAAAAATATTAAATTTTCTTCACTAGCTTTAAAAATTAATTCATGGTGCATTATGCATGAATTATTGTGTTTTGATGGTGCAAAGTGCTATTAATATTTTTTAAGGGTGCAAAGTGCAAAAAACCACATTTCCAAGGTGCAGAGTGGAATTAAGTCCTATTTAATTGTGAAATTTGGATTAGCACGAAAAAATTAAAATAAACAAAACCCTTATCCGTTAGATTAAACCCTTATCCTGAGATAAATGTATTGTACAAAAGGACATAAATTAGCAGGAAAAAAAATGATGAAAAATGTGGTAATAAATGTAATTAAGCAAAGTTGGTAATGAGACAAGTGGAGAAAATGACAATACAGAGTGTTAGGGGGTGGGGGTGGGGGTGGGGGCGAGATTAGTAGTGTAGAGTTTGGGGGTAGCCCTACGCTTTGCCAGTGGTCCTAAAACTTCTCTTAATAACACCAAAAGCTTCCATCTTTCATTAAGTCCCAATTTACACCATTTTTTTTTTATCTCTTTGGTCCCCCACCCCTCTAAATCATAGTACACACACAATGTGTGTCTGTGTGTTTTTCTGGGTTAGACACATGCATATTACACGCACAATTGCACATGTATGTGTGTGTATATACACACATACATAATTTTATGTATAATGGTGAGGGTTTGGTGATTTAGGATGAAAAGCTAAAAACATGTAGAATTAAGTGATGAAAATAGGATTTAGGGTTTGGCTGAACTTATTTTAAGCAGTTGATAAGCTTTTACGTTTGATAAACTGTTTTAAGAGCTGATAAGTTGTACGTTATGTTAGTTTAGAATTAATTTCGAAAGTGTTTGGATGATGAACTTATAAGCTATTATTACTCATCATAAGATCTTAAATGAAAATGTGGGGTAGATGTCTTTTTTTTTTAAATATCTTATTTGCTCCTCAATATCTTATTTTTTGGATTTTTAAGATCTATTTTAAAAATTACCAAATACTTTGGAAGAACTTATAAGCTCTTAAACAACTTATAAGCTTTTTTAACATCTTATAAGCTACAAGCTACATGCTACAAGCTTAGCCAAACACCCACTTATGGCCGATTGGCTAAGCTTATATTAAACAACTGATAAGCTCTTATATCTGATAAGCTAATATAATTAGAGTTGTCGTATTTTTATAATTCATTCTTAAAGTGTTTGGATAATGAGATTATAAGCTATTTTTACATATTACACGGTCTTAATTAAAAAGTGGGGAAATTAAAATGCATTTTTTTAGAAAGATCTTGTTTGTTATCCATCAGCTTATTCTCTGAATCTGTAAAATATTTTTTCAAAATATATTACCAAACTATTTTGAAAGAATTTATAAGCTTTTTTTAACAACTTATAAGCTTAACAAAACATCAAATTAATGTTAGGATGGAAAGTGTTCAAATAAATTAGAAAAGTGTCATTTTTCTTTAAAAAATTACAATTTAGAAGCAAGAGATCACCTTCATTGTAAAGTTATTTACCTTTTTTCTTACATCATTTTGGTCTTGTGGATATTAGATGACATCCTTAGAACATGTTGTACGGTTAAATAGTGACAAGCATCAAATAATATACCGTCGTTCTGAATTTACTTCTTTTCTTGAAATACATAACTTAATGCAGAAAAACAAAATCCCTTTTAGAAATATAGAATTTATTTAGGAAGTCTTGGGGGACAAAAAATCAAATAATTAAAGAGTCACAATCACAACGTTGTCTTTGAAGAATTATTATTATTATGGAGATCAAACTGCAAAAATATCCTTGTATAATCTTCAAGTAGCGAAATATCCTTGTGATAAATATACTAGTAAAAAGTCTCTCTATAATTTTTTTTAAAAAAATAACACACTAGAATCATTGTGATTTTAGTGGTTGAACAAAGATGAAAGGACATACATACCCTTCAATAAAATGATATGAAATTAAAATAACATAAAATAGAAGCCAAATTGAATCCAAAATAAAGTAAAGACCAAATTGGAATTTATGCTAAATCTCTAAAAATTATATTAGGGACTTGATTGCAATTTCCCCAAAAATCATTGCTTGGAATACCTCCTCCACCACTCTAACCTCCAACTAAGCACACATACACCATTTTCTTCAGCCCTCCGCCGCTTGCTATGCCGCCTCTTCATCCCTCCGCCGCAATTTCCAAATCGAAAAGCTTATGAGTAGAATTCAATTGGAGTGGTATGAATATGACTTTCAGATTTTCGAGGTTAAAGAGAGGAGAGGACATGGGCATCAAGATTTGGTGATAGCGACGACGATTGGAGAGCAACACGGTGGAGCAGCCCATGGTGGAGTGCGGTGGTTGTAGGCGGCTGGACTCGGGACTCAAACTGATGGTAGAAAGATGGTTGATCGAGTGTTATAGGGGCAATTCTGGTATTTTAGGTCTTAAAATCCATTACCAATCGCTTATCCCGCGAGCGTGCCACACAAAAGTGTACTCGAGAGATTTTTCCTTTTGACTAAATTTCAGTGGGGCTCTTTTTGCTAGTTCATATAACAAAATAATTTCCACTATTTCGAGATTACAAAGGAGTACTTGTTGCAATTTACTCTCATTGTAGACTCTTGTTCTCCAAAATCTTATAAACTACTTTCATCATTATTAATTCATAATACAACACTCAAAAGTAAAATTATAGCTCAATAAAAAAACCCATTAAATATTATTATTAAGTTATTTATTTTTTGTTTGGATTTGACAAAATTGACATTACGTAAATGACATGCAGTGAAGTTATTAACCCGGAAGCCCATAATTAGCCGGGAAAAAGTTGTCCATACCCAATCCTTTTGTCCTTTCCATTACATCAATTCTTTTTTAAACCCAACACCCCAAAAGTTGAAAAATAAGCTACCCCAAGACAACCAACTACCTTTGTCTTCCATGCATTTCCATGCCCATCTCCACTTTTCTCTCACATTCCAAATTAAATTAAAAAATTAAAAAATAAAAATTAAAAAATAAATAATTAAAATGGTCCCCTGTCTCACCACCCCCACCCCCCAGCCCCCCTACAAAGCCTTTAATCAAGAAACCCTAGACAACAAATCCAACCATAAATTTTCCCAACTGCTTAAAACATTAACAACAAATCAAGAATCAAGAAACCAAGAAATCAAGAATCAAGAACCAATCTTTTCTTTGATAAAAGCAAAAAATTACAGACAACCCCTTTTAACGGTGGAGGTTCAGTAATTTAAACCCACCTTTCTCCATCCGTTTTCCACTGTTTGTGATCTTATTATTGACATTACCATAATTGCTCCCTCTTTTTATTTATTTCTTTAATTTTAGGGTTTATTGCAGCACTACTGACACAACTGCAATCTAAACTTTTTGAGCTGCAAAGAAACCCTAGAGCTAAGCCCTTCTTCTGCTACACCTCTGCCACACTGTTTGTTTTTACTGTGTTGTTCATTTACTACCTTAGCCCTTCCTATAAAACACCCCCAAGAAAGAAACTTCCACTTTGTCCATTTTTTCCCTTTGCAATTTTGCCAATTCTTCACTCACCCATTTTTTCTCCCCTTTATTCCATTCCCTTACTTCCTCAAACCCTTTTCATTTCACTTCTTTCTTGGGCTTATTCTTCATTGCTTCATCTTTCCTCTGAAACTAAAAAGACTCCATTTTTATACATATATAATTTTTTTTTTGGTTACTGACATGAAAAAGATCAGATTTTTAAGCTTCCCAATTCTTGTTTTCTTCATAATTCATCTGTACGGAGCATGCATTAACGGTGAAGATGAAAGTTTAGTGGTGGCTGCTCCGATGAAGAAAACAGAGCAAGATGCTCTGTTTTCTGCTATTCAGGGTTTTGTTGGCAAATGGTGGAATGGTTCAGATCTTTATCCAGATCCCTGTGGCTGGACTCCTATACAGGTATATATTCTTTAATCTTTATCCAATTTTTTTGGGATTTAATTCAGCCAAATTCAGAATTACGGGCTGTAATAAAATTTAAGTGTGTGTAATAATTTTTCTCTGGTTTCTTGCTTTTTGGAGATTCATGCAACTTTTTTAGGGTTTCAATCAGTTGTGAGGGACTGTCAAATCTCAACCAGAGGAATCATTATCTGGGTTTTTCTTTTTATTATTTATTTTTATTTATTTTTAGTTTGTTGATTGGTTAGAATAATAGCCCACACAAAGTCATTCATTTGGTGTGTAGGAAAAAAAATGTAATGTACACTTTTGTTTTAACTAAAAACTTTGTCGTTTCTTATATTTTTGGTATTTGCTCACTTTACACATCTTCTGAGATTCCCATTGGCTATTTCCAGTTTTATTCTCTGTTCAAAAATCAGATCTTTATTTTATTTTATTTTATTTTTTTGCTTGTGAATCTCACCATTGTTTCAAGATTCCATTTTTATCCCTTTTAATTTCTCTTCTTGGGAATTAAATGAGAAGTAGTTGCACTGTAGCACATTGCCCTCTTTCCATTTTCCTCAAATATATAATTTTCAAATACTAAACAAAAAATTAATCCCATTTTTCAAATTTTCTTGATTCTTATACAGGGTGTTTCTTGTGATCTATATGATGGATTTTGGTACGTGACCGATTTGAGCGTAGGCCCGGTTCATGAAAACTCACTCAGCTGTGCCGAAAATGTCGAATTCAGCTCTGATTTGTTTTCACTAAGGCATCTCAAATCCCTTTCCTTCTTCAACTGCTTCGTTTCTTCTTCGAACCCCGTTTCGATTCCTCCTCAGAATTGGGATTCTCTTTCGGCTAGTCTACAATCGCTGGAGTTTCGATCCAACACCGGCCTAACGGGGGGCATTCCCGTGATTTTCGGTCACCTCACGAATCTCGAGTCTTTAGTGCTAACCGAAAATCGACTAACCGGCCAACTACCGAACATTCTTGGCAAGTTGATCAACTTGAGGCGATTGAATCTCGCCGGAAATTCGTTCGAAGGCCAAGTTCCGGATAGTTTAGGAGGGCTTAATCGTCTTTTGATTCTCGACATGAGTAGAAACCAACTCACCGGAATTTTGCCCTCAAGTTTCGGAGGGTTGAATTCACTATTGAAGCTCGATTTGAGTAACAACAAAATCGAAGGAAAAATCCCGCAAGAAATCGGAAATTTGAAAAGTTTGACACTTTTGGACTTGAGCAATAATCGATTATCCGGTGGATTGACAAAATCAATTCAAGAATTGAGTTCTCTGCAAGAATTGGTTCTTTCGAACAACCCTAGTGCAGGTGGGGATATAATGAGCGTCGAGTGGAGGAATCTGAGGGGGCTAACTGCATTGGACCTGTCAAATATGAGCTTGACAGGTGGCATACCGGAGTCGATTTCCGAGCTGATAATGCTGAGGTTTTTGGGGCTTAATGATAATAAGCTCACGGGGAATATTCCGTCCAAGATTGCTAGTTTGCCGAATGTGGGCGCGGTGTACATTCATGGGAACAATTTAACGGGGGAGATTAAATTTTCGGAGTGGTTTTACGGGAAGATGGGCAGGAGATTCGGTGCGTGGGATAATCCGAATCTTTGTTATCCCGTTGGATTGATTGAGAGGAAGGATAATGTGCCGGTTGGGGTGAAACAATGTGAAGAGGAAGTTATGAGATTGTATGATTCCAATTCCAATTCCAATTCCAATTCCAATTCCAATTGGAATGGGAATGGGAATAGTGATTCCAACCGAATTGGTTCTTGTTTGGGATTAGTTTTGGTGGTTGCGGCATTGATGGTTCTATTCTTTAACCTTTCCCTTTAAGTGTAGCTGGCAGAACTTCTAGTGCAGGAAAAAAAAAAAAAAGAAAAAAAAAACCGAATCTTGATATTCGGGGGATTTGATGTTTCTACATATTGTGTACTTGTTGTATATGTAAATTCTAACAATTCTGTATCGAAGGTGAACTCGTTGCATTTCTAACGTTAAACCACTCGATCGAGGGGGGCTGGCTTTAGATTTCCGAGTTACGCGATTAATTAATTATATATATATAATCTTATTTCATATTTCGCATTTATATTCATAAGTAGTCTTAAAGTTTCTTATCCTTGATTGTGTAATATTGCAATATTAGCAATATATTTATATTATGTTGCAATTGACACACCCACATGGGTGTGTGTGTTTTTGTGTGAAGTAGATGAACAATTAATAAACGAGCTGAAAAGGAAGGATCAATATCTAAGATCAGAACCATTAATTAATTAGCTAGCTAGCCTGTAATTTTCTTTTGGCTATATCGCTGGAGTTTCTACACACTTGCATGCAGTGATAGTATACATGCGGGTGCATAGGGATTCAATGTGGTCCATATATGTGTGTGTATGTATATTGTTATGATGATGATGATGAGAGTGAAAGTGTGAGGACCATATGAAGAAGATAGAAATCATTCAATGTGAAAATGGCCGCATCGCAGCAGATCATTCAGCCTGCGCTGTCAGCTCTGATTTCTGTGAGTTTGGCTCTTTCAAATATTTGTTTATCTAGGCATCAATTACTCGTTTCGAACCGGAACCGAAACCGAAACTCAATGCGATCACTCTCATCCCTCTCCCTTATTATTAGTTTGGGTTACCTGTTTTGCCCGTGTCGATTTTTATATTTTGGAAATTGCTATCTTTAGCCATTTTTTTGGTTATCTATGTTGGGAAAATTGGTTAAAAATTGAGTCATGAACATTTTTTTATCAATGTTATAGTATGGTCTAATTGATTATATAAATCAATTTTTGGATTAGATTAGTTTAAAACCAATTTTGTGGTGAATGAAAAATTACTAGTCCAAAATATAAGGAAAGTGAGATTTTAAGTTATTCCACATTGGAAACGTAGAGAAGTACTGAGCTATTTATATATCTCAATGTTGGTCCAAATGACTTATGTTATGTGTTTCGAATCGTGCCCGCACGCGCCGCCGTCAGGGCGGGACGGACAGATCGGATTGGATTTGGGCTTGGGCCCAAATCACTATATTTTTTTGGACCAAAAACATTAGGTCATGGGCCGTCAACCAATTGGACTCTCCTACCTCTCACCCCATCTCGAATGGTGTTGCTGAACGCAAAAATCGGACTCTTAAAGAAATGATGAATGCAATGTTAATAAATTCGGGTTTACCTCAGAATTTGTGGGGGGAAGCACTCCTCTCATATTCTTAATAAGATACCGCACCGAGAAAAGAAAGAAACCTCTTATGAATTATGGAAATGTCACAAACCATCTTATAAATATTTAAAAGTGTGGGGGTATTTGGCTAAGGTAGAAGTACCTAAACCAAAACAAATAAAAATTGGGCCTAAAACTGTTGATTGCATCTTTATTGGTTACGCTAACAACAGTAGTGCATATCGATGTTTAATACACAAGTCTGATGTTCTTGACATGAATGAAGGCCCAATCATTGAATCAAGAAATGTTGCATTTTTTGAGGATATATTTCCCTATAAAGAAAAACCAGCAACTAGTTCTAACAAAAGAACATATGAAACTGCTAATGGTGGTCTTCAAAGTGATGAAGAACCTAGACGAAGTACTAGGGCAAAAATTGCTAAGTCCTTTGGACCGGAATTCCTAACATATACTATGGAAAATGATCCAAGGACCATAAAGGAAGCTTTATACACTCCCGAAGCGCCGCTTTGGAAAGAAGCAATCAATAGTGAAATTGATTCGATTATGCAAAATCATACGTGGGTATTGGTTGATCTACCTCCGGGAAATAAGTCGTTAGGCTGCAAATTGATTCTCAAAAGAAAGTACAAAGCCAATGGCTCGATTGATAAATACAAGGCAAGATTAGTAGTCAAAGGATTTAGACAAAATGAATGTCTAGATTTTTTTCATACTTATTCGCCCGTAACGAGAATCACATCAATTAGAGTACTTCTAGCAATTGCTGCTTTGCACAATCTAGAAATTCACCAAATGGACGTTAAGACAACCTTTTTAAATGGTGAATTAGAAGAAGAAATATACATGGAACAACCCGAAGGGTTTGTTGCTCATGGACAAGAGTCCAAAGTATGTAAACTTGTGAAGTCACTTTATGGACTAAAACAAGCTCCCAAATTTGATAGAACAATACTAGCAAATGGGTTCAAACTAAATGAGTGCGATAAATGTGTATACATTAAAAACACACCAAATGAATTTGTACTTATATGTCTCTATATGGATGACATGTTAATTATGGGCAGCAATCACGATATAATCGTGAAAACTAAGAAAATCTTATCGACACATTTTGACATGAAAGATATGGGTCTAGCCGATGTAATTTTGGGAGTAAAAATTATCAAAAATGACAATGGACTAGTTCTTACTCAATCTCATTATATTGAGAAAGTACTACGAAATTTTAAAATGTTTGATTGTCCACCTGCTACGACCCCAATCGATTTGAAAATACACTTAGGCAAGAATCGTGGAAAACCAGTGGATCAACTGGAATATTCTCAAATAATAGGCAGTCTAATGTACGTCATGAACTGCACTCTTCCGGACATTGCTCATTCGGTTAGTAAATTAAGTAGATTTACAAGCAATCTTGGAAATGACCATTGGAATGCACTAACTAGAGTACTTAGATACTTGAAATATACTCTAGATTTTGGTTTGCATTGTACAAGATATCCATCTGTACTAGAAGGCTATAGTGATGCTAATTGGATATCCGATACTAAAGATTCAAAATTCATAAGTGGTTACGTTTTCACTATAGGTGGAGCTGTTGTGTCATGGAAATCTACAAAGCAAACATGTATAGCTCGATCCACAATGGAATCGGAGTTGATAGCTTTAGATAAAGCTGGAGAAGAAGCGGAATGGCTTCGTAATTTCCTAGAAGATATTCCGTGTTGGAATAAACCACTGCCGGCAATATTGATACATTGCGATAGTCAATCAGCAATTGGAAGGGCACACAAGCATGTATAATGGTAAGTCTAGACACATTCGCCGACATAATACCATAAGGCAATTGATCTCAAATGGAGTAATTTTATAGACTATGTAAAGTCTAAAGACAATTTAGCGGATCCGTTGACTAAAGGTTTACCAAGATATCAACTACAATGCCTATCTAGGGGAATGGGATTAAAACCCATCAATTAAGGACAATCTTAGTGGTAACCCAACCATGCTGACTGGAGATCCCAAGAACTGGTTCAAAAGGGACAACTAAGCTAAGAAAGTTCAGTCAAGGACTAAGGAACTCATTCATGCGAAAGATAATAGTGCTACCTGCAGAAAGGGTAAAATGATAGACAGACGCTTTGAATGATTCCAAAACCTTATAATAAATGTGAGGTATTGGCAGGATACTTTTAATAGGAGATCACCTATATAAGTGTATGAAGTGAGGGCCGCATCAAAATTTGACAAACACTTATGAATCCAAGATGTGTGTCCAAGGCCAAAACGGACACAATCATGAGAACTAAGGAAATGTGAGAATAGTATTGTGTGGGTTGCATTGTCTTGGTTTACACGAACAGCTGACAGTTCAAGACATCGCGTTCACAACTCAGCCTAGTAAATCCAATGTAACTCCACTACGGAAGGTTCAAAGTTATATGCTACCTATCCCAATGCAATCCTATTCGTGGGAACTCTAGAGAGAATCGACGTCCTCGTGTTCATTCATGTGGGGGATTGTTGGGAAAATTGGTTAAAAATTGAGTCATGAACAATTTTTTATCAATATTATTTATTGTATGGTCTAATTGATTATATAAATTTATTTTTGGATTAGATTAGTTTAAAACCAATTTTGTGGTGAATGAAGAATTACTAGTCCAAAATATAAGGAAAGTGGGATTTTGAGTTATCCCACATTGGAAAAGTAAAAAAATACTGAACTATTTATATATCTCAATGTTGGACTAAGGGTCACGCCCTTTGGGCATTCAACTTTGTTTGTGAGAAAAACCTATATGTTATGTGTTTCGAATCGTGCCCACACGCGCGCACGCGCCGCCGCCGTCCATCTGGCCAGCTCGGCTCGTTCGTTCCCGAAGCCCATCTCGAATGGTCTGGCTGGTTTAAATTGGTGCGGCCGAACCAATGCAAACCAATCGGCTCAACTCGAAATGGTGCAACTATTCGGCCCAAAAGACTACTTTTCAAACCTTATAAATAGACCCCGTCTTTCCCTCAATTCCTCACTTCAATCCAAAAACAGCTTACTGCATATTTAGCCTACCCTCTATAGATTCTCTCGAAAAGTTCTACACAATGTACAGTTCGTTGTACTTGGGATTTGAAGTGCTCATATTCCAAGTCTTTGCCGTTGTATCTTGGGAGACGATTTCCGTTCAAACCGTTAGCACTGTTGCGGGAAAATTTCGTCTTAAGGATAAAGTCAATTCACCTCGGCAAACATTCATTTGTAGCAGAAATTTCCAACAATCTATAGACAGGTTTGGGGTCAAACCCAAACCCCACCCTCATCGTGTGTCGTTTTTAAAAAAAAATATTAAGTTCTTCACACTAAATAATACAAAGTAATTCAATTTCCGTCCCACCCTCTATATCTTTATATAATTTGGTTTATTGCAACTAATACCCACATGTAATATCGAATTGGTAAAAAACTACTCTACATTATCTTGTTTGTAAAAATCGACCTATTATTCAATTTTTTTTAGCACACAACCCCTATACATGTACTAATTGCTTAAGCAAATAAATTATAGAGGATTTTGTCGATAATTATACTA